ATACGGTGCTAAAATTAATCAGTCTGTTGAATCTTATGCAATATTAGCATTACGCGTCCTTTTAAGTGGACTAGTGCTCAAGATGAAAAATAAGCCACGTCTCTCCATAAAATTAAAATGTGCATTCAGTCACCAAATATGTCGTAACACCGGAAACATAATTGAAAAAGTTGATGTTTGTTCTAGGTGCGCGCAGTTTGCACGATGCCTTATAATGGCCCCGTGGGGTACCAATTAACCAATAAAATAAATTAATCAATAAATACTTCATGTCTAGTCTGTAATATAACGTGCGCAACTATAGCAGAGAAGGTTCAAATTAGCTTTGTCTTTAATGCACGAGCCTAAATGAGACTAGAAACGCACTGCAGTTAACCCCATATGTCTATTTGTTTTTTTTCATTTAGAAGTATGTGAAACAATACACAATACAGATATACAATCATGACTAATACTGTGCCAAATCAAAGTAGCTAGTTCCGTCTAACGCCCTTCAACGAAATTCAGTGCTCTTCTAAATAAAAGCAGTAAAGTATCATAATCCCGTTTCATACACTTCGCGTTCTGTTCAGATATGTAAGGGCTCCTATTGCAGAATGAAACACACGACACTCATGATGAGTGTTTAGTTCAGTATTTTGAGCAGCTGTTTAAGTACAACGTACAATAATCAACTCGCTTTCTCGGCTATAATACTTGTTTAATGCAGCAACTTTCTTTTGAGCCGCCTCAAACTAGTTGCCCAAACATGAGAACTGTTGCCGAATGTACGTTTAATGACATTATTAACACAGAAAATCATTGCCAAACACTGAAGAAACTGGTGCATCAGACAAAACGCACTCTCTTGAGATCAGCGAACAGTCTTTAGGCCTAAGCTCGAGGTGACGTCTTTTTTCTACCTATCTTCTACCATTGTGTGCAATATTTCATCGTGGCTTGCGACACGCATTATTATTCCAGACCGAAAGTTCTCCAGCATTCTACTTTAGGTAAGCTATACATCTGAAGTACGTATCAGAAGCGAAATTGAATTCAGGCACAGTAAGTTGAAGCAGTGAGAGCATGGGGCCCCAGAAAGGCACGCCCAAACATTTATATTTTTTATGTTAGTAACAGCGCGTACAGCTAAAAGTGGAGAGATTCACACGCAAAAAAAAAACCGACGCCCTAAAGGAACTGCCACGATTAAAGTAGGATACTTTTAGATGTTGTGAATTCCATTACGCATGAAGTACTGCGGAGAGGTATATCATGTACCTGCCATCTGCACTATCGGAGGCTCAAGGCGTATGAAACATTTGCTCCACAAGAGATAAGTAGTATCGCGATAAAGATGGTAAAGAACTGCGCTATATGTTATAAACCAATATGCGCACGCTCTCAGACATCATGGCGGGATAAGCTCACACTCACGTGACGTGAGCCACGTGCGGCTATGAATAACGACCAGAAACAACGCACCGGCCTGATTCGAAGTGAGTGTTCAGAAAGAAAATGCGTCGGCTGGGAAGGTTGGACAGGAAGTGAAGGTGGATTGATCAGAACTAATGCAGCTCAAACGTGACCAGCTATCAAAGGTCTTTTATCGCAGTGAAGCAGAAAATAAACATCATATTGACGCGCTCCTTTCCCAAGTTTCATTATCGGTGAATAGGTGACCGATAATATGGGCGATCGTAGGGAACTGTGGGATATGACGGCGTCCGGTTTGACGCGCCACGCGGGTTAGCAGCGGCACGCGGGCATTTTTATACCACTCCGGTGAAAAAAAAAACCCTTTCGTGCAATGTCAGTGCTTTAAAGTTTGGTTTTTTTGTTTTTGATAATCGTGACTGTGACGTTGTCAAGCTACGAAAGCCATTAACGGTAAGGAAACTTTTTTATCGCACTAAAATGATCATCAATGCTTTTTTTCTGCTCGGAGGTACTGTCAGTTTGGCTAGCAGATCAGTCGATACAGAAAACAGTTTTCATTGTATGATACGTTATTGCAGATGCAAAATCACTATTTTGAAGATCTTAGGGGATAGTGATGACTGTAGCAGTGTGCTAAGAGTTCATTTCGGGATCGCTGCTTCGGCCGACATCGTCGGTCGATCGGCACGAAGCGTTGCACTTATTGAGCGCATTGAGATATCCTTTCTTTTTCTCGCCTTCTGCGTGCTTTAAGATGCATTTCTTAGTCTACGCCACATGCTTATTTAAACGCTGATCTTGATCAAGCTGCACGGCACGGCGGCGCATAAATAATACAGTCAGACATAGACGGCGCCAAATAATCCAAACCCTGTACTTGTTTAACGCCCTTCATTTGAGTGCCGTCCTGGCGCACAGTTTCACCAAGGTAAACGCAAATGCACTAGTCCAGCACTTCGTGTAAACTCACTGTTGAATGAAGCTTTTGCTTTTTTTGTCACATATATGGGTGAAATGGCCGGCGCTCATCTCGTATGGCAGGTAGATGTCACCCATGCGTTCCCATATCTTTGCTAGGCATGCCTGCGTGACAATTTATTTCTCGATATAATATTCGCAGCAAGTTCATGCGTAAGCTTTTTATTAGTGCAGAATACACACGTATCCAGGATAAAATTGTTTCCGCACACTCTGGCTTCAACGTTCCGTACTCATAGGCTACCTGTCGCTGTGGCTGTCTTCACAGCCGCGGCCCATTTCTTTTTTCTTTCTTCGTTTCATGCAATCGATTCATGCGTTTGCCTTTCACGCTTGAGTTGGAGCAGCCAACGGCTGAACAGGACAAAGATAAACGGGCGACCGCACATGCGAATCGCGAATAATCTGGGGCTTGCGGCGAAGCGGTTCACCGTCGTCTACTCTTCTCGAACCGGAAGCCGGTAGCAGACGGTGCATTTCAAAATCCCTTGCTCTTTTATTGGTCACCTATTACACATGTACGCGCCGCCTTGCACAACCATGCCCATTGACAAAAGAACCACTGAGATAATCGTAGAACCTTTCTATGTGATTACGCCCCGAAGAGATGCATTACAGATTCTCCTGGAACTTACTTCCCCGCAATCGATAGGACTGAAATATTCGATGACACTTGTATAGATGCCAACGCGCGTTTTAGCATGTCAGTTAATCGACAGCGGACTCTCCGTTCGCCGCTATCACCACCAATGTGTATTGGTGCAATCCGAATTTTCGTTCAACAGCCACAAGTTCAGCCAAATATACTGTTTGATCTTTGACCTTCAGTCTGCTCTTTTCGTCGCCGTCAACACCACGCGACAATATCACGCCTGTTGCTTTTTTCATTTGTGACTTTACGTGCAGTACATTCTCGCTACGATTTTTCAAACGTTTGATGAAGGGGACTACAATAATTCTTTAGGACCTCTCATAGTGCGACCATGCCGAGAATGTGATTTTCAATTTGCACTAAACCAAAAGAAGGGTCCGCTCTGGTTGCGAAGATTTCTCACCTTGTTTCGTTTGTTAAATAACTACGCTGCTGTTACTATATTTAGGACAGAATACTAAGGCAATCTATTTGTTCTTATTTCATTTACCTGACATTCTAAAGCATTAGGAACAATGTTCATGGTGCTGAGGAGGAAACATATTAAACCAGGCAAATCAGCGTGCAATATATTGCTACGTGCCGGTGTAATATGTAGAGCTGTTTATTTGCAATTCCTGTTTACGAGAGACATTGGTAACTTTTGAAGGGTTGGTAGTTTCACTTTATTGACTCTACAATAAATGCTCAAAACTAGAAAGCGCATGCCACAAACACACAAGGTGAAAAAACGTGGAATATATTTTTCATGCTCCCATCTTTCCGTTTTTAGAATGGTTTGTTATTTTCATTTTTGCGCACTTATCATAGTTTCATTGTATGTGGTGTTGTTATCGTTGTCTGGGCTTATTGACTAGCCGTGGTCAAACTGTATGGTATATTTCACAAAGCAAGAACTTCAGTGGAATTGTTTGCTTTATACCTTACACACCAGGTGGTTGGTGATAAAAGCACTGGTAAAGATTTTTGCGCGGGACTCACCTTGCTGAAAGATTATGAAGTTTACGTGTGAGTATGTTTCTACTTACCTCATACCTTCCCTCATTATGGTTCTCTTTCTAATTTATCTACTTCTCCAGATCACTTTATCCCGAGAGCGTAACAAAGCGGTTATTTATCTTCCGGTTAATATCGATGTATTTCCTCATTATATTTGTCTGTTTCCCTCTCTGCGAAGAGCAGTCAAATATAGCCATCTAGTTCGGCAAGGAGGTTGCAGTAACGAACAAATACAAGGAGTTCTGGCCCTAACGCCTCCACAACTTTATGAGTTTATTGTTACACTTTTAATGTAATTTTAGCCAGTTTATTCCAATCGAAAAATTTCAATACCTAGGCGAGTACCCATTCTCATACGATCTGCGCGCGCCAAGCGTTAATTTGGCTGCGAGCATCCACATTAAAATTCTAATCCGTTGCGCAGATCAGTATGACCCCTAATAAGTGTGGCAACAGCCAAATTCAACCAATTAGTTATCATCAATAACTAGTGCCTATTTTCTCATGGGTGGCTCAGTGCTACCCAGCTATTCTAATTAAAGCTAGATACACTACACTGAGCTGCTTTTTTTTCGTATCGAGACTCCCTGTCGCTTTTTATTATCTGGTCACCTCTGGCTTCTGCACGATTACACACAGACACTTTCGCTTTTTTTTTCTTTTGAGAAACATCAGTTGCTACAAGTGTACAAGTTTGCTAACGTAGACTGCGCATTAGTCAGCTGAAAATAAGGATAAAAATAAATATTCGCGACAAAAAACGGTTACGCATCACAGCTAAAAGAAGCTAAGCTTAATTAAAAGGCATCACATTAGAGAACCAGTGGCTAATTGTTGAGCACAAATAGTTTTCTCTGCAGTTTGCTATCTGAGGACTTTTTTGGCATTTTCTACATGCAAACGTTATAAAGAACAAATCAGGGACTCGAAGGAACAACACAATACACAGATATTGTGCATTAAGCCATTGTGGCATGTTTATTACAAATTCCTAAATATCACATTTTCTCCGAATCCCCCACAAAACTTAGTGCCATTATATTTAGCGACAACAAATAGCAGCCACCTGGAGACCTGTATAATAGTAACAGTAGTTCAAGAGTGCAGCCGTTTTAAATGTTAGGTATTTAAGCTGAGCAGAGCTTTTATTCAGCGTCTTGAATTACTCAAATATTGGTGTATCTCTTCATCTCAGTTTGCTAAAAAAATGTATAATTTGCCATTATTCTGTCTATCATATCAACACACAATCAACTACAAATTTGAGCGTTGAATATTGCGTCTGACAGCTTCTGTATTTATCTGAAATGCAAAGTCAGATCTCTATTGTTTATTTTTGCTGTTTAATACCAAGGACTCAATACAGTAATAAGACTATAGATTATAAATAATTTCATTGTGTAATTCCTACTCATCTTTAACCAAACTGGGCACCGAAAGGTCATTTATTTTTTGTTTTCGGAAAAAAAAGAATAAGCAATAATACTTCTCATCTTCCTTTAAAACGTATACCTCTTTATTGGTTCATCATAAAATGCTCTGAATTACATTTTGCTTTACAGCGTAAGGGCTTCATGTGCAGATAATCTTACTTCAACCATTACATTTTGTATGCAGTGCTTCCTTATACACATATTAGAGTATTTATTTTTTTCTGCCCTTTTTGCATATTAAGTAATCAACAGTTTTCACAAGTTTCATTCACAAGTTTTCATTGGTTTTGGTCCTTCTGTCAGACTTCCACGTCTGGGGTGAAGGCCTCAATAGGAGACATACGAGTCTCATTTCGCCTTACCTGGTGGACATATTACACACTGTTAATTGTCTATATATGCGTGAAAAAATAAATTGTTTGATAGTTTTTCTGTTAAATAACGCATGTCGTGGTTCCCAATGTAGCTGACTAGATACAATAAAATTTAGGCAGTTAAAATTCAAAATTCACATTCACAGAGCACTCGCTGTGACAACAGGCAGGTTAAAACGTTTTTTTTTTTGCAGTGACAGTTGTGTCATAACATGGGGCACACTACAATCACCGATGGAAAGTAATCACAGGCAGCAAATATAGCGGAGTGATTCCAGAGAAAAGGGCAGCATAGTCAGCGCATTGTTTTGGCCGTCATAAGTATGTGTGGTAATTGTGAAATTTGACAGTTAATTTTTTGCGGTTGTTCCTCACTATTTGCTCAGTGCAACAAACAAACGTGAACACAGAGTAACTTGGTAAATTTAAATATCAGATAACGGACACCAATATATCGCAATTATATGCGGAAGCAATAATTGACTCTTCTAACTTCTGGATAAGGTATAGCGTTGGAGCAAGGCAATTATTTAAATCTCTCGCCTCCTGATTACCACTTTTGTAAATTAGTCACGTGTTTTATATGTTACACTCATGAATATTTTAACGCAGGCATCATCGTTTTCATGAACTAGGCTCCAAAAATATTTCCTCGATCATGGTACGGCAACTCATTGATATATAGGTGCAGGTAAGATTCTCAAAAAGTTTTCTGCCTTATCTTCCGTGTGTCGAATATGCCACATCATCTGAGATACCATTTGGTTAGCGCAACGTAATTTTTGAATTACCAAAATTGTTACATCAACTCTGAACTTTTCATGTGGAGTTTTAGGATTAATTTAGTGGATACATATATTTTGCTTTGATTTAGTATACACTTCATAGCCCTCTTGTATATCAACCCCCACTCGTTCCCTTTTTAAATCAGTCTCTTAAAAAAAATGCACGTTACAAGTTGCAGTCCAGGATGATATTCTAGTGAACCCCGTCAGAATGCTCCCATTGCAATATTGATGAAGCAAGCTTTGAAAAGAGCTTCAGAATCGTCGTAAATAAAAATGCTTTCTTGTTTTTTTTAGATAGAAGAGCACCTGTAAGGTGCCAACTTGGACTGAGTTTAGGACAAGTGTTTTTAAGTTAATCATCAGGTCAGAGTAATTTTTGCACATTTTTGCCGATTGCGAAAGCTACTGGACAAAGAATCTCGCTGTTGCCCGTATTTTTTATCTCTACTTCAATCACTTCGATGCCTGCTACATATTTTATTAAATTTCGGCTTTCCCAAGTGAAGTGTAGAAAACGGCATTTCAAATCACTGACCACTTTTATATCAACTTTTTTTTTATACATCGACATACAGCGGTACAAAACAATGGCATTTTAAATGAGTTGGTTCAAATGTATGACGCAGCCTACGTAAGAGACAAGCGTAGCACGCCCCATGAATGCAGAGATGAATATTTTCTTTGACCCAGCTATACTAACCAGAATGATCGTATGGTCTTCCCTCCTTCCATAGATATTTCAATTAACCAGCTCCTTTATTCAGTGCAAGTTAACACGCTGGTCAATCTCATTTTTTTTTTTCAAAGTGCCTGACGCTGTTTTATACTTAACTTTTCTGAAAGCCCCCATTGTGCTACTTCCGGGCAAAAGACGATAACTACAACTTTTCTATGCAGTTTGCCAAATTCTTTAATAATACTTGCTAAAGACGGCCATAACTTTTGTATATATTCATTAGAAGCCATTACGCATATAAGGTTGTTTCTATCAGACAGTTAAAATATCCGTAGAACAAATGAAAGGGGAAGGCCTGACTTACGTGCCTTTCTTCTCTTAAGTGGGGAAGAGATTCAACACAATTTCATCCGTGCACAACTTGTTATTCCTTGCATGAATAGAAGCAATTGAAACAGCAAGCTTGCTTAATGTTTCCCTTTGGCAAGGAAATGTGCCACCTGATATTTGACGAAGTAAGACAGTGCCATTGCTCGTTGGTTTATGTTGTCACGTTGTCTTGTATGTTTAGACGTAATTAGTTATTCGACTCGTTTGACTTACACCACGCAGTGCCTTCATCTTCACCCTCCTCCTTTCTTATATCTAGCATGCACTTTCACGTCATTTGCTACCATAGGACGAAACGTTCATTTAAAAAAAAAAGCATGGCTTCGGACGACGGCTTCAGAAGACGCCCATATCACGACGCATCATGATGAGCGGGAGCGAGTCAGCGCACGTTCACTCAATTGTTTCACACTTTTCACCGTCCTTAAAAAAGGCGGGGCACATGCACCAGTGACACAAACACTTGGTCGCGGAAGTCAGCGGGTCTTTAGAGTTTTTTTTTTTCAGCGTTCACCATGTCGGCACACGGGTTTTATAGGAGAGTCACCAGAATGCCTCGGGGTTGTGCGTAGCCGTGGCAAGAACGTCTGGTGACTCGCCGCACTGCTAGGAAACGTCGGGTCTCCTCTGCTGCGCATGCGCCGATGCCTCGCCGTTGTCTACCACGTCCACTTGAAGCGTCGTCGCCGGCAGCACCGATATTGAGCGATCCTGTTGAGCAGTTGCGAGCACCTCCAGCGAAGTCTTCGACTCTTTTTTGGACAGCTGCGCAGAAGACCAAGGCCGTGTTAAAAAGAGATGTTAACTAGACAGTGATGGAACTCATCTAAATATATCAAGGTGGTCACCGTACAGCCTTATCTAACATTTGGCACCATTACTCCTTGGCTTGTGCGTAGAGGACCAGTACTTTGAGGCGGCAAGCATATATGTACACCGAATGCGCATAAAAATAAGAGCCCCTCTCGCGCAACATGACCTTTAGCTGTTTCTTCCTTTCCTGTATGAGAGACAGCAGCAACGAACTTCAAACTTCAAATAACCATCTTTATTTATATGGCGGAAATAAATATTTTACTTGATAATCTGTCTTAGGCCTCCAGAAGAGGTGCTTCTGAATCATTAAAAGTGCATGTAATTCAAAGTTCCTCGTTATGAATACAAAATTCTTGTACAAATACAAACACTAAGGGAGACATGCACTTGGAATATTCATTTTATACAATTCATCTCTATATCTCTCTGCTCTCATTTAAATTGTCAATAACTGAAACATAAAAAACAAAACTCATATAGGTTCCACAGGTTAGCGATAATTTTAATATATCTAGGTCTCGTCCAGCGCGAACCTCTCAGATTGTTTTGGGAAATGTGATATCACAGTTACAGCCTAACAGTAACAGGTTAGGGAATATGGCTGTACTTACTTCCATAATATCACAACTCCTTTCTAAAGCCTTCTTCTTGGCTTTAGATGAAGGATGGGTCTTCCACACGAATTCCAAGATGACGCACACGCTGGAAACACCGAGTCCTCCAAGAAGAACGAGGAAGACGCCTCCAACATTGGATACACCCAGTGCATTGGCCTCCTCCGACGAGTCCTGTACATCGGACAGTGCAGACGAACCTCTTTCCTTTTCGCGTTGCTGAGAGCAGTGTCCCATCCACCATTGCTTCTTGAGACGCGCGATCACCCCTGTTTCTTGTAACCGGAGAATGGCTTCGGACAAGTGGGCCGTGTAAGGGGACCCTGAAATCAATTACAGACCAATTTTGCGTTAATACCTTGTCAGTGTGCCAGTGCACCGAATGCTATTGGAATATTTGTCAAGCGAGTACAGAACAACCAGGCTAGATTGTAAGAGTGATGGAAAATGCAACAAAGCATGTGCACACTTTAATACTTTGTGTCCTACAAAATGGTACATATAATAGGCTTTTTGTAATAAACTGACACACGCCATAATATTTCACTGAAAGAAAGAACTGAATCTTCTCCGGTCTAACCACTATGCCCAAAAGTTATTCTGCAGTGGAACAAAACAGCACGCTTTTCCAGTGCTCACTGGAACCACCTGCAAACCGTTGTCTCTATATACAAATTTGAAGTGCTGCGAAATGCCGTTGTAGAATCTTTACTATCTGCGTTAGCGGTGATTTACCAAGAATAACTACTAGACACAACAAAAAAATGTAAAAAAAACATGCTTGGTTGAAGTAGCTGATACCAAATTGTAGGTGACATTCAGTTAGACACGTATACGAAAGGTTATGTTAGTTATATTCTCTCCCGCTTACGTTCGAGCAATTTGTAGCAGTAATATCTACATAACCTGTGTGATCATGCACCACAATTTTCGGTGCTGTCTTGCAGTTTCTAAATGACAATTCGGCAATAAAAAGCAGCACCAAAGCGCGTAAGTCCTACACATTTGCGCGGTGTCTTGAATTTGTCGATTTTTTTTTCAATACTGCGATAGATCCATACTTTCCGACAACATTATGAAATGTAATGCTGGCTGACATACATTTTGCGTCTCTCACTGGGCTAAAAGAAGTGAAATATTATGAATGTTATTGGTGAGTGCTTTCATTTAATAAACTCCGCGTTAATTATGATGTTCATCTGTGCTGATACGTTCATGAGTCTATCAATTTATTTTCAATAATTCTATATCTACACCATAGGGTAGCAATAAACTACGCATATGTCTAGAATGTCTCACTAATAGCTGTTTTTAACCTAAAATATAGGTCTCAGTAGAGCGGCAGCATTCTTTAATGACGGTACCTCAATGCCCCATGCCTGAAAGGTTACTTGCTTAATTCGTGTCTGTAACCTGAAGACCTTAACTTGTCAGTACACACCCTTACTCGCAGCTTGAGTATATTATAGTCACACGTAATGAACTATACAATGAAGAAAATAATTCGGATTGAGTGCACGTTAAAGAACACCAGATCGTCGAAATAGCCTGAGCCAATCAGTGCGGCGAGCCTCATAATCAAATTGCAGTTTCGGCACAGAAAAAAGGGATAATTATAAGCTGCTCTCACCGTATTTTTTTTAATAACAAGCATACGTAATGATCAACCCCAGAGAAAGCTGTTTGTCCTAATAATTTGTGTAGCACACTATCAAGAAACAAATTATGTTTGTAAGTTAAATTCCCGGAGCCCTCCACTACGGCCTCCTTCAAAATCATATGGTCATTTTGGGACGTTAAACCTCACATATCAATAAATCATGTTTCTAAGGTACTTAGAAAACTAAAGAGGCATTCATAGGAATTTCATAGATTGAATCAAACTGTAACGCTGCGTACTGGTGATTGTCCTGCTGACTGTCTGCTTTTACTGATTTATGCCCGCCACAGTGTGCACCGCGCGCTGAATTGCCTGACCTAGATTTTGTCATTGCGACACACTGTAGCAGTTCTCTTCTTTACTAAAGATAGCCTTTCCTGGTTTGTGTTTCCGTACATATTTGGGGTAGCCTTGTCATCAAGTTTATTTGTAAAAACCTATATGTGACTTCTATACAGGAAAGGTTTAGATAAGTGCCCAATTTGAAGCCTTCTTATACACATATACTCAAATGTTTGTTGATCACCAAAGCACATCAATTCATTTGACCACAAACGAAAATCTTCACTCTGCCAACTCTAAGTCGGTATTTTTTTATTGCTATCGTCTATTTTTCCACACATTGTAAAACTCTTCAAATGAAAACAAAATTGAGTATATACAATTTACACGCCCGCAACACACAATCTTGCTGAAGAGCGCATCTTAGGCAGCAGATACATATAAAATGGACATTGAAATGTATAGATTCTCATCTAAAACTTACACAATGAGGCTCAACACTCCACCTAAGTATTCCATTTATTTGTGTTCTTTTTCATAAAAATGTTGTCAAAACCTCTGCCGGCCTTGGAACACAACTGTGTAACATGTATTTTTATAGTTGACTTTCACCCACCGCGATCTTTGTAATCTAATGCTGTTCAACGACCATGGTAATCTGGAAATTTGCCTGATTCGAAAATCTCGCTCTCTTGTTTTTCTTATATTTACTCATCTTAGACTCATCTATTAAATAAATATAACCGCACTATAAAACTTCAACCTTCGTGCAGTCACTACAATTGTAAAAAAATGTCTGCATCGTAGCCGTTATCGAACAGGCGGCCCTCACAGAAGTTAGCACCGAGCATCCTCAATGTGATTCGGAAGCACCGCCAACACGTGACGTAAGCAACTGGCGTGACCACTTTCTCATACGCTGTTAGCTTAGCCCACAAATGCATAAATACAGCAATACTTGCACACCGTGTCGCTAGGCAAACAAAATAAGAACCATGAAAAGCGTCAGAGAGAGAGAAAAGCGAGCTTTCTTTCCGAGGCCTGTTGTTCACCTCGGGGCAGTGCGAATCCATATCCCTTGGAGTCGAGGAGGCCCCCAATCTGAGCCAGCTGGCAATCTCGGTCTGTGAGATACTCGATGGTTGCTGCCTCCATCAAGAATGCGTAGTCGCCTCTCCGGACGCGCTCCACGCCTTCGCCGGTCGATGACGCCAGGGAGTCCTCGCGGTTGTTCGACATCACCGTCCACATCCGTTCGTACGGCTCCAGTTTCGATTCCTGTGGTTGGCCGGGAAAGGAACGACACGGTGTCTTGCACAGTGGCTCCTAAATTGCTATTCATCTTACGCTGTTACGATGTGCTTTAATACAAATCGCTTATTATATTCTTACAAGAGCCACGTTTTTCATAGCGTAGCTCGTGCCCTTCTCCGCATACACTGTTCGCTCCAGAAACTGTAAATGGCGAATGCTAAAGACCTGTCCTTTTGTAAGTTCTCTCATACCACGGAAGTGCTACCGGTTTTACGCACATGCTAACAGCGCACTGCCTCATGCTAGATGATGTCGCGTGGTTGATCGGTGAAGTACTTAAGGTTTTGTTAATATCGACTAAAGCTAGTCTATGGTGTGGGTTATTATTGCCGTAATGTAGGCTGATTCTGGATAAATTACAACTAGCAATGGCTGAAGAATTCCTGATATCTAGTAGGAAGGTATTACATGTATTGTCTTCACTAATGGTCGAATAACGTAGGTTAAATAACGCTGGCCGCATAACATAGGTCATCGGCAGTTACAAGGGCAACAGCTTTTTTTATTCGCCAATAGTTATTCTTTCACACATACATACATAGCAATCATAGATGCTTCCGCCCTGTTTTTTTTTCGCCATTAAAAAAAACACCAAGCTTTCAACGAAGGCTTCGCAACGTCGTCATCTCTTTCTGTTACATAACGTTGAAACATATTGTGTGTGTGGCACATATATTCGCATTTATGAGATCTCAATTATATGCGCACGAGTGAAATACACAACTTTTGTAATTGTTGAAGTACGGGAACCACGCATTCCGAAACTGCTTGCGCCCAAACCATTCGCGCGATTGATATTAAGCAAATACGCTTTGTGCAATGAGTGTATTTCATAATGACGACAGCAGTTTATTTGTTTTATGTGTGCTCCAAAGAAAGATATCCAAAATATTTAACCACTGATACTGCTGACGCATGGCGACTAGGTGTGAAAATGTTGTTGTGTAAAACCTTATTGGCACGGCAAAATTATAGGCATCATAGAGTTAGATTTTAACTGACCTTGAAAAACGTCTCCGTTGAGCCCGACGACATGCAGCCGTACTTAATCTTGGACTGCGCAGCCAGGTCATGAACGTTTTCTATGGGAAACTGGAGCTTCTCGTTGACCAAGAAAGCGGCCATGTTGGCCGTGTAGAAGGAAACCATGATAAGCGAGAACACCCACCAGCTGATCGCAATGAGTCTTGTGGACGCGGCCCTGCAAGCGATGTTAGGAATATAAGAAGACGGCAGGCATGACAATTCGTTATCTCAATACCATTAAACTTTCCTACGATACGAAAGATTTTGAAAAACGTGTCTTATTCTTATGCGCAATAATTCGAAGTGGTTAACAATATAGTACCACGAAAATACTCAATATTGGAATCCAATAAAGTTCTCCAATTCCTTGCTCTAACGATTGCGGTAATAGACGTTCTAGCGTCTTTTAATAACATCTTATCAATTTCAAAAGCTGGTCTCGTCTATTTTTCCTACTCAGCATGCTATTGTGACCCTCACAAGCTTTAGCACAGCGTATACCTTGCGCACACATTCACTTTGTGCATATCGCTGAAATAATTATGGCATGATCTAGTTAAAGCTTCTTTTTTTGTTTTTCACTCGATGTTTGCTACAGTCATGCCACGCATATTGTACGTTAACAACGATTTTACCATCTCGAAACTTACCTGGGGCTGGTTTCACAGCCTTGGAAAAGGAGCGCCGCCGTTGCGTACCACAGGCTCTCTCCAAGCCCGAGTGCATTTCTAGGACTGTCCGCACCCGATGAGCGATCGCAGTCGCACTTCGCGCCGTGTCTCGGCACGTGCCATTCGGCGGGGGCCATGCGTGCCGCCAAGTGGAGCATCAGCGCAGAACCCAGGTACGCTGCCAGTAGGCAGAGCCAGACGTCGAGAGACAAGGGCAGCAGAAAGTAGAAGAGACGTGACTCCTGTACGGGTCGTCGGTACAGAATGCCGATGCCGGTATGCATGAAGGGCAGCGTGAAGTCCACCGCGCGTGAGCGAGACACCGTGATGGTGAGGTCCCCGATGGCCAAGTCGGCTTCCTGCGTGCGCACCCAGTCTCCATTAGGCTTCGCTAAGTGGGACCGATGGAATTAAAAAAATCCGGGCACCTCTATCACTGGCACCGGTTGACTGCACGAAAAACCTACACTCTCCCACACACAAAGCGTTTCTTTTTTTTAATCAAATATACTCGAACACACTTATAAAAATGCCGGTTTCAGGAATGAGAAGCTGCTGCGCCATCAACTCGTGTACGTTATTTATGGTGAAATAACCCGCTCAGATCAATGCCCGCATGCCGCAGTATTACTTATAACAATAATACTATTTGCTCGTAGTTCTTGCAGAAAGGTATAAAAACTCGAAATTTTCGCAAAAAATTTTAATCGATAAATTCGAGCTGCTGAACCCCCTTCCACGACCCCACATACCCAAGTGCCCCTTCATATTTGCAATGAGCTTCACTGCATAACGTTCTGGCTGTACGGCAAAGCTTAGTTTTCAAATCGGCTGCGACTCAGATGGTTGCGGATAATGCATCTTCTGACATGCCACCTGAGTGATAAGTTGAGACTTGGAAGATTTACAGCAACCAGAACTTCGGACGTTGTCATACATTGGCTATACGTGGCTTGTGGTAGTCCCGTGAAATAGTCCCAATTTTCTAGCATGCCCGAAAAATTGGCAGCCTTGTCATCTTTCTCGCTAGTGTCTGTTGCCAAATTTTGTCTTATAGTTTTCTGACACCAGTCTTAATTGATTTTATGTTGCTTTTTTCATGCAACACGGTTATACCCATGATCGGTTATAACGATGTAGTTTTTCTGGCTTGTGAGGTATGGTATAAGTGGTTTCGACTGTACTGCGATCTCTCATTGATGACGTAGAAGGTCGACAATAACGTATTGACGACGGCAGATTTTAATGGCTCAAGGGCAACTGATAGCAAAGAGCGTGTATTAGAGTAATATTAAGTGTTACGTAAACTGGCCACTGATACTAAAGAATAAGCAAAATTTGTAAAACGACTTCCAGAAGAGCATGTATTAGAAAACTGTTGCCAGAATAATACTATTTTCACTAAATGGTGGTTTCGTAACTTGTGTACATGTGTGGTACGGCTAGTGCAGGCGTAACAGGAAACAAATCTCCATCCACGTCAAAGAACATCAATTAGGAACAACCATACGAAAGTATTTGCCTGCCAGCTAAGCTTTTAGGTTTTGCAAGCTTTCCTAAAAAATAACATTCTTTGCTCCTTGTCGTTCTCGATAACACCTGCCTTAGATTTGCCGACATTTAGAAATCAAGTAAGACTCCGTGAATACAGTTGCTATGCAGCAAGATATTACACAGTCTTTTCTGCCAGCGTTCGGAAGTACGTGTGTAATGTACTCTGAGGGCAGCGTGAGGTCATTTCCAGCCATTGCGAAGATACATTCACGTCTTTCACAATGATACACCTCTTACATTTTGAGTTTTGCTTTCGTACTTTTCATGGTTGCACAATTAGAGTTGCAGGTCACTAATGTTCCAGCTTGTTTGAATTGTTTGTTACGTTCAAAGATTTCAAGACCAGAATATAGACGCGCTTAATGCGAGAGCCTAGTTGCACGTCAAAAGAGTCGTAAAGTTTTCAGATAGTGATTGATAATAGCAATGAGAACACAACATTATGAAATACACCGCTTATGATGCGTATGCTGTAACTTCAATACCTTTATAAAACTATTTAAATATATTAGAAAACACGAAACAGAAATTATTTATGCACAACAAAGAAGAATACCCAATGGAAATTTCCTCTGAGCTTAATATTTTGGCAAAAGACCTTGTCTTCTTCAGAGCAGAAGCTGCCTTCTTTCATAGCTTGATGAAACCTTTGGTGGGCAGTTACTTTACTCACGTAGAAAAATCATCTATCCATAACGATGTCTCCAGGATTACTCCCTGTACGACGATGTTTCATTTGTGACGGAGATAGTGCTACTTAGAAGCGGAAATCAAAGGCTCAGCACAATATTGACTACTGCTGCTGAAGCTGCCACGCGGCCAAATACTTCGTAAGGCTACGCGTATTATCTACACCATACGTAGAGTTTCATACAATAACAACTTGAGAAGAGTTTGGCGCTGCCATCATGCACCTCAATGAAAATTATGGGAAGTACGGGCTTCAGATTAGATAGGGTTCGCTAGTGAACTGTCCACAGACCTTTATCTAAAGTTTCAGTTTCGTTTTTCCCGCAGCATGGGTAGTGGGGAGCAGTGAAAAAGGCTGAAGAAGTGCCTTTGTTCTTCGAAGAGGCTGACGCCCACTAGATCTTCTGATTTCCTGCGACGTCGGAGCTTTATGAGTCATATTTGTAATTTTTAACGAAGCGTCGTACACTCACCGCTGCGCATATATATATTAGCGTCTCATGCCAGTGCAGAATATTGCCCCCAGTTTCGTTTTTCATGAGCGCGTCTTGCCTAAACTCGTTTTAAATCGACTGCAAACTGATGGAGAAGTTAAGTAGACACACCGTCAAGCTCCGCCGACTCTACTTTACAACAAAACCAGAGGTGCGTTGGAGGCAGACTACTAGGGTGAACGCACCTAGCGTCGCAGAAGACAAATCAATAAGCGTTTCTAACTTGATGCTCTACTGTTATTTCCGATAATAGGTAATACATACTTTCGAGAGAAAGCCAAGCATGTTTGTCTTCAAGTGTTATAAAAAATAATTCATTAGATCTTGATGCCTAATCTGGAACGCAATGGCAGAGCGATGCATACCCTAATGCTTGAATTTGCCCAGGTATCTTTTCTTGCCGCCTGTTCACGAAAACGTTTTGCAATAATGTTTGCGTACAAATATATGAAGCAAGTTGAGTATAAGTTCATATCAGTTTGTTTTACACTCGGAAAAGACGCGTCGCGAATCTAAAAAAGTAATCAAATCGAGGAGGATCCGAAGCCTGTGCATCCCATAACTCCCATGGAGGCACAAGCATCAGACTCCTCTCTAGATATTGTATGAAGCTGTATGACACCATATATATATATATATATATATATATCTATATATATATATATATATATATATATATATATATATAATATATATATATATATATATATATATATATATATATTTATATATATATATATATATATATATATATATATTCTCCTAATACTTTTATTCGGTGTTGTTTACTACTTATTGTTCATGTTGTTCCACGGTAATGACCAGAACATGGTCCTGCATGGCGAGAATCGTCATAAAAAAAATGTTGCTTCATCATGAGTAGCTAATGTCAGGATCTCTAAAGTTTCCGTGAGTCTGTTTTTAGTTAGATGAGCGTGTGCGAAACTGAAAAGAAAACTTGTGTCGATAAGTTTTGCGCCGTAGAATTAGAACAATGCATGTTACACATATAAAAGCTATTCTGACGAAAAAAAAAAGAAAATGAGGTGCCAACATTTCAGTAATTAAATTGACTATCTAGGCTCCAAAGACACATTGTAGAAAACGCGAGATTTCTAAGACGGCCTTTTTTCACCATATGGGGCTGATATCCGATGAACTTTCATTTTTTTATCTTCCACTTGTAGCGAGGTTTTTTTGCTAAGGCAACATAAAACAAAAAGGTGGCGGAAAAGCTCTCCTGCTAATGCGATAAGTGAGGATCAAAGGACTAGGTACTGCGAAACGGCGACAGAGCTGGAATTAAAACACAGGCTCACTTCCGAAAGTGAGCAGGCTAGCACGTTCCGCGGAAGCTAAAGCCAGCCGAGCTGCGAACGTAAAGGCGGGGATTTCTAGGAAAACAACACCTCTTACTGGCACGGATGACTTTCTCGAAAGCCCTGCTGGTGGTAAGTTCTGTATCAGACTCTGTACTTATTTAGTGGTCAGAAGACAGTACTTGGTTCCTAAGCTCGCCATCAAGAAGTTTTCTAAGGTAGATTAGCTTGCAACAAAGTCATGCGAAGCTCTGCACGTAAACAACCTTTGGCTGAAGTCCAGGCCACATAACAGGCCTGTCACGGTTAACATTAACGATGAAAAACACTTGTTTATCTGAAAAAAATTACCTTGTTACCAGAAATATTCAACACAATTGATGCCTCCTCAGAAGCTCTCTTTTCTAGACCTAAATATTGTAACAATTTCCTAGGTTGAGTTTCATGTTACAGAAAAGAATAAAGAATTTCGGTGTATGAATACACAGTTTTATCTCCTGGTCAAAACGGAATGATTCCGTTGATAGCAAGAGCGGAATGCACAGAAGCGCTATGAATGATGAGGTGCTTAAAGCACGAAGAAACGCTGCGTCTGCAAAAAGAGTCTTGGCCAGAACGTGCTTTCTGGAACCCAACAGCCATGTGAGGTATTTATTACAAACAGAAAGCTTTCGTGCAAGGGCGCTGGAACACCACAGCCTACAAAAATACCACATGCCAAAAATTAACGACGTTGTTAAAGCGATACTGATAGACCTGCAGCAAGTAGTTAGCACACATAGCTCTGTATTCCCTGCTACCAGCCCTTGGAATGTCCGTCAACGTCAGTCAAAGGGTGTCTTCGATACTGACTGATTTAGGCAGCAGCTTTGACATGGACACTAAAGGAACTTATAGACTGCTCGATTATTTAGACTCATGTGCTGCCTCAGTATTCCTTGAATAATCAAGCGCCAATGACTATACTATCTATGACTTCTATCATTTGAAAAAACAAAACCACGGGTCCGAAAAACGGTGAGGCTAGGAACTCGTTATACTGTCTCATTGAGGAGTAACAGGCCGCGTTCACACAGACTTGGCTGCTGTGTCAGAATCACAACTTTTCAGAGCGAGTGATCAGTACACTTTTCGCTAATTTCCCCTATTTTTCGCTTACGATTAACAATATTATCGTTCAAATACAGGTTTTTGCTTTGAATGGTGAGTACAGCATTAATTGTGGGCTCACTAATAACTGCAGTGTAGAGCTATAAACACTTACGATGCTACTGGTGAGTTTCCCGTGCCGTGTGGCGGTAATAGCTGCTCAAGGCCTTCCTCACACTGCAGTAAACTCGATGGCATAAACAAATCAAAAGTTTACTGTTTAAGATAAACTGTATTATAGTCCATATTTGGACTGGTTGGTATATGATCAACGAAGTCTAAAAAGCAGCGCGTGACATAGGACAGTAGCAGAGACATCTCTGTCACTGTTCTGTGTTGCGTGCTGGTTTTTTTTTTTCGACTTCGTCGTTTAAGATAAAACAATGCTGTGTGCAACCTATGAAAAAAACTTAGACCCTTTATCCAGTATTGCAGGCTATTTTCTCTAGAAAGATGTCCCTATTTCAAACTGAATGCAAACCGAAAGCAATCATATCAAACCCACTGAGAGAGTCCATTGAATTCACAACAGCAGATAAATGTACATTGACGCGCGCTGCTTAATAGTGCTTCAGTGAAACAAAATGAAAGGGCTTAGAAGGGAAGAGAGAAGCGTTTGAGGAGGCTTATTGGAAAACGTTTTCGTCAGCGCTCCCAGTGAAGACGGAATGCAAGGTGTGTAAACATGGGTTCATGAAAGACGCGAAATTCATACGCGACAGCGAGTGACGCTGCTTTCATGTCCTTGTAATCCCCGTTTTGCAGCTTTTCCTACCTTCCGTTAGAGACTTATGTAGTACATGGCATAAGGCCTTCACTTTTAAGCTCGAGGGTGCAATAATGAAGGAGTCAAGGACTCTGTGATGAAAAATGGCGTATGCACTCTATAGGCTCTCCTTCATGACAGCACTTTCATGGAATTCTTCGATGGTGCACAATTTTTTCACATACATACATAAACACTCTTCAAGTTTTCGTGTAAACAACCAACCGCCTCCTGCGTCCAGGGTTTATGTTGGCTGCCACGATCGATGGTAGCGCTTGTTCGTAGCATATTTTTACACCGAAAATAGGAAAGCTGCTGACGTCCTTACCTGAGCAGTGCATTTTTGTTTTTGTTTGATTTTTACTTTTGGGGGGGGGGAGTAGTAGTCTTTCATATTATGAACGTCCCAAGGGAAGTTGTAAAGACCTCACCTCACGTACTTATTGCAGCGCGCTGATGTTAGGCTTCTTGACGCTGCGCCACACTCTTCATACGGGAAGGGAAGGTGCGTAGCTAAGTCGAGTTGTGCGCGCTATCTCTTCATTGGCAAAAAAGATTGCCCGCAGCTTCCCTCGGGGGAACACTGAGGAGGATGCGGAGCATATAATTGGTTAACGGGGTGTTAAAGTGCGACTTACTTGGGTCGATGGCTAAATTGGTTAACGTGGTTGTGAAATGGGGTGTTAAATTGCGACTTACTTGGGTCGATGGCTATATTGGTTAACGTGGTTGTAGGAGGGGGTGTTAAATGAGTGAACACGTACACACGTATGCGAAAGGGCGGCGCTGGTCGAAGAGACGTCGATCATGGTGTTTGTGGATTCGTTGGCATTCATTTCACCGCGACCTTGGACGTCGACGCGCCGTACAAACCAACCGACGAGCGGCAACTGAGCGAGCGAGCGCCGACCTTGAGTATATATACAGCGTGACGGCGCATGCACTGTCAGCTGTTGAATGTTCTCGAAGCGCGACAGCGCATGCGCGTCCACTGGAGAATCAGGAGAATTGTAGAATGTTCTCGAAGGGGAGAAGCGCGCGCGGCACAGATGGTGGGTGACGGTGCATGCGCGCGTCAGCTGTCGAATGTTCGAGAAGGGGGAGAAGCGCAACGGCGCGTGCGCGCGCGTCAGCTGCCGATGTTCTCGAAGCGCGACGGCGCATGCGCGCGCGTCAGCTGCCGATGTTCTCGAAGCGTGACGGCGCATGCGCGCTACATTATACAGCTAGCGAATGTTCGTGAAGAGGAGAAGCGCACGCGGTGTGTAGAGGAGGAAGGGTGCACGGATGGTGGAGGAGTGAAGCGCGCGCGGTGTGTAGAGGAGGAAGGGATGCACAGATGGTGGAAGGAGGAGGAGGAAGCTTGCGGACAGCGCCGCACTACAAGCCTCGAGTATTAGATGCTCCGCATCTAAAAAGCGCGGCGCCGCGTCAAAAAGCTACGTGCCGGCGCGATGAAGGCCTGGCCACACGCACCCGTTGTAGCACGTCCGCGCGTTTCTTTGTGTGTCTTTATGACAGAGGGTGCGCAGCTTTGCGTAGCCACGCACCCTCCCTCTTCATGAGGAAAGGGTGCGGCGCTGCGTCAAACAGACGCGCTCTGACGCGCTGCAACAGATGCATGTGGTCAGACCTTAACAGTACACAGGAAGCATTTGTTGAAATGTTACCAAAGTGGTGCTCATGCGCATGTGGTTACGGATGCTCACGCAACAAGCTATGTTGAAGTGAAAACTACGGTGGGTCCCACTTGACTCGGTCTTCTCACAAGTCGAAAGTGGGACATGGCGCTCTAAAGCCATCTTTGAACAATGAACCATCGTGCAGTCCAGCACACTTGGGTTTCATCCTTGATATAGGTTTATTCTAGCTACCCATTTAATCAGAAAAACAAGATCAAAATATGTTAGCCTCAGTACCCATTTATATCTTCAGATGCCATATGTCATCTGTTGCATTGAGCACTTCATCACTGCTGCAAACTTCCGAGGCCCTGAGCCTATGGTTGCCCGATGCTTGCCCGATATGAACTTAGCTGAAGCACGTCAATGGGTTCAACAAACGATGCTGAAAACAATTGGGAGAACCGTACACTTGCTATGACCGCACGGCTGAAATATTTGAGAGTGAAATGTTTTACGGGAGATATGCAGATTTGCTCGACAACGAATGAAGTCGATATAAAAAATAGCGCATTCATGAAAATTCCGGCTTCAGTAAAATGCAAATCCCAACCCTCATTTCGACGAGCGCGTGACAGTCCTTTCTTTGAGATGTTCTACAGGCTGACGAACGTTCAAAATAACATGAAATTTAGATGCTACTCGAAAGCAGCGTTCCGGGGACAGAAAGTACGGTTATTGAAACTGGACGCTGTGTTTAAAAAAAGAAAGAAAGGAAGAAGGAAAGAAAGAGGGAAAAGAAAGAAAGAAAGAAAGAAAGAAACGAAACGCAGTAGGCACCCCGCCATTTCTCGAATATGGCGAGGATTTCGGAATACTAGGATGTAGCTCGCACTTCACGGTAGGCCTGATAAAGAGCTGCATTGCATTGGACACAAGCGCGCACGACATTCGGCCAATGGGACATCGTCCGATACTCGTCATTTGCACTGTTAGTACTCACCCTGTCCATGACTTCTCTGATGATACCACTCCACTCTCCACGTGCGTTTACTACACCATAGGTACCATCACGCACAAGACGCAGTTCAAAGCGGAATCCAAGCAGGAGCGCCATCTGTCGCAGAATATCGACGCAATATCCATCCAACCTGTCTTCACCGGCTGATGACGTCTTCGAGTCCTTGCGCAACAAAACGTATGGCTCACTCTGCGCAACAAAGAGCAAAGTGAGAACACGACGTAAGGAACGAAGTATCGTTTGCGCTAAAAGGCTTATAGAAATCCGTAGCCAAGAAACTAAGCAAAAAACTAAACCGGACAGGGAGTAACGCTTTCATCCTTTTAGAACTTCTGATTTGTCAGATGTCAGGCACCAAACTCGAGCATTACAAAAAAACGTTTCTTCACGTAACAGGCTGTTTTATATAATTTTTTACTCAAGGGATAACCTGTTACTCCAACATCTCTACATTGTGCACTAATTTTGCGCTAATTGCATAATCAGGCACAAGCCACACTTCCTCGCAACGATGGCGTTTAGGAGACTTTAGCAGTCTGCCACGACAATTAATTTTTAACATGGTAGCGTTTCCTACGAGCTTTCATGCATAATTTATATTTACAAGCCTAATTGCGTTTTTCGTAATGCGCAATTCTATACGTAATCACGTTAGGAAATTAAGAACATAATATCACACAACAAAAGGCGCATCTTGTTCTGACTAAATCATATATAGCTGGTCTCAAGGAACATGATGCTTCATGCTTTTGTTTTATGAAGCAATTCCTCCCTCATTGACCATTTATAGCTGGGAAAATACCAATATATGACATGTAGAAATAGGTAAGAGTTTCGCCTTGTAGAAAAGTAGTCTCCACTAATAACGGTGCTGCTGCACCCTATAGGTAGCAGCCCTTTTTCATAAGGCCGAAATATTGAAATAAACTGCCGAAGATCGCTCAAGTTGTTTGTCCTCGGAAATTAAGACAAACACATCAGATGTTCACTGCTGCACAGGACGCAGAAAATTGAAATAAACAACGTTTGCTTGATAACCTGTAAACTATCGGGTCATATATGCTATGCAGCATCGTAAGTCGAAAATATTTCAGTTCTGGACTTGTGCCTTATGACTGTAACTACGGATTGAGGTGACAGCCGTGTACATTAGGAATTCTTCATCAATTTTTAGCCCTACCAACGCGTTTAGGTTTGCTAGCAGTAGAAGGGACCATCACCCTGAAAGGCACAAAACATTCAATCGCTGAACTGTGGATTTGATCGGCTGGGACAGAACGACGGGTCACTATATTCTTCAGCATAATATTTAAAGCTTGATTACAAAACTATACCGGTTTGTACCTTTTGATAAGATATATGCACCTGAGATAAATGTTCCTGCTTGATATGAGGTGCCCGTTACAAAAAAAAAAAATGCACGACATGTGTATTTGCTTATCAAGACCCACTTCATTATACGCACGCTGGTGTCCCTTACGACTGTATGTGCCATAAATCACTGTCTCTCATGAATGCTCTTTACTATAGACCAAAAAAGGCCCCGTTAACATTACTATGGCTTGTTCACGTTTGCCCTAAAAAAACGTGGCCCTTTATTCTGAATAACCACGCGTACGATTATTGCCCCGTATTCGGCATTTGCAAAGAAAAAATGATTTGACGGCCACTAAAATAAGTGGTTTAAATTTCCACCCTGTCAAGTTTATTTTAACCCTTCAAGACATATCTCTAGAGTTCAATTAGCTAAACACATAGCAAAACTGTATTTGCACATGGATACAATACATCTTCAATCGACCACCTTTATACTAGACACAAAATAAGGTAACTGCGAAAAAAACGGAGTACGCACCACGATAGTAACAACGCGCAGTGTTTTATTGCGCAGTGTGTGAGCTACCTCTTCGTAAACCTCGCTTTGATTCTTGCTGTAATGAACGCCGCTGCGCTCATCCCAGGTGCCAACCTGAAAAAAAAAAAAACAGGAAAGCGAGAAAAATTGAGACCCTGTTAAAAAAAAAGAAGCCATGACATGCATGGTCAGCCGAAAATACGTGCTTTTCAGCGAAAGCTAGAAGTAGAGCAGCTATTATGTCAATATGTGCTTTACAGAGAAAGCTAGAAGTGGTGGGTCTATTATGCCTTTAGTGATACAATTATTGGGCCTTCAAAGTGCCCAGCTGTTGACAGAAAAACACCGTTAACTAGAATGCAGCCACTCGTACGGCAAGCTGCTTGTTACGTCGCGGCTTTCAAGTGCACCAGTGTTGGCCTATTCTCAAGCAGGCCGAGAATATGTAAAAATATTCAGTAATAAATTAAGGTAATCATCCAATGCTGTAAATTTAACCAGCCTATTTGTGAATGCTCAAAATTTAACGCACGCAACACTTATTACGATCTCAAGTTGGGTACCACGACCCCTTCTTATGTACGGAGGTAATGACCTGCATAAGTAGCATGGTACATTATTTCTTTTTGTAATATCGTGGTGTTTCGTTCGCATTGTTTTAAAATGCAACGCATTTACCAGGTATCATGTTTTAACTTTGGTGCCACAGTTTTGTAGTGAGAATTTATATCGACAGGTAAATAACTCAAGTTAAAACAAAACAAGGTATAAAACAATTGCACCTAGATATTGTGCAGCTGCTTGAGTGCATGTCTAAGAATGGTATTTTCAGTAGTCTCTTTCTTGAATGCTATTATAGGCAATGCAAATTTACGTTTTTTCTCTTAGGAGGGGTTTTATTTCGTCACTCTGCGAAAGGCTACGCAAAAAAACACTGAAGGCTGATAAAAATATCCCCTTTTCAAACTAAAGGGGCTGATCTACTGCTCGATAGGAAGGGTCGGACAGTCCAGCAGTCATTCGCAATTACTAAGTTAGGCGGCTGAAACTATATAGATCAGAGCTGCACTTAAGGTCAAGGAATTTATTGCTCTCAGGCCGGATTTGGATAGACGTTCACTAGAATTGATGAAATCTTTGGTAATGCTGCAGCCTAGTTTCTAAACATGCTAAGGAAATAATAAGATTAGGCTGCAGAGAATAAAAAATACGGTCACTAGTCATTTGAGTGGATGTTTTTGTGCTTCCTTGTATTCCTTCGATTTATTTAAAACGTGTTCCTTCTTTACTATACACCTTTTTACACCAAGAACGTGTTTTGTCGTTAAGAGCGAAAGAACAAAAAGCGGAATTCACGCCACAGTTTTGCCTTAAAGCTATAAATGGTGCCGTGAAAAAATTTACCAAGTCAGAAAAATAAAATTCACTTATGCGCTTTGAAAAAAAAAACCACGAACAGAACACGCGTGCAGCGATCAAACCATCGACGTATAGAAAATGATGCCGACAAAAAAATACACGAAAGTTTTTTTTTTCCAACTCGGCTTGAAGTTCCGACAACAAAATTTTTCAGGCTCGTAGCAGCGAGGCATTCAGACACTGAATAAGTCAAGAGGCACTCTTTAGAAGTGAAGAAGACACGGTTGGGTAGATGTCGTAACGGGTGTTTCAAATTTCGCGCGCGTGGGTTGTGGAAAGTATACCTTGGGCACGCAATTTTCATGAGGTATTGTTTTCCGCATTTTTTCGAGCTGCAGTGTTTAACTGCGCAGAAGAGCATGCTTTGTTCCCATTATCCCACTATAATTCTAGGAAAGAAGTGGCCGAACATTTACAGAGCCGACATTCACATTCATACTGGCTTATCCGTGAGCATTTCGGCTATGTACCAACGAGTGCATTTGAAATAACTGTGCTAGTACATTAAACTTTGATATATTTAGTATGTTGTATGTAGTTCTTTTGAAGTTGTAGCTTTGCCATCACAGCAAATAGGTGAATGAGGTAGCAACAAATAAAAATCTTGAACAAAGCAAGACATTTCGCTCGCTCTTTTAGCACAGCAACCGTCGCAACACAAGCAAGAATCTATGTAAGGTAACGGAACCCTGAAGCAAGTCATGAGATTTGAATTTTACGGAATCTTGGCGACGATAACAGAACGTGTATTAATGACGAGCAATCGGCTGATCCACTTTATCCTGAACGTGACGGTACATTGATGGCTAGAATACGCCTGGATTGTCCATTTTCTTAAAACGAAACTAAATATCAGACTTGCCTAACTGGCAAAGTTCTTTAATGTGTGTGTAGGCGCGTTTTCCAAATGCGAAGCATATCTTAGCGAACTTCGGCGACTTTGAGCGTATCTATCTATCTATCTATCTATCTATCTATCTATCTATCTATCTATCTATCTATCTATCTATCTATCTATCTATCTATCTATCTATCTATCTATCTATCTATCTATCTATCTATCTATCTATCTATCAATCAATTAATCAATCAATCTATCTATCTATCTATCTATCCGCCTACGACATTTAGCTCTCCTGTCCTTTTCGATACTGTTGTCGATATCAAACTTAGTATAGCATAACATGACTGTAAGAAGAACATATTTGACTAGTCATAACATAAAAATTATGACATGTATGACATGAATGCCATGATTTACATTTCATGGTCCTGCAGCCTTTGCGGTGGTTTTGGTCACATGACATGTTGCAAAACTGGTATGGTATGACATGATTGCATGGCGAACACAAGTGACAGACCCTAACATGAAAATCATGACATGCGTGTCATGTAACAACATGACTACTTGCCACGATCATGATGCACTAGCGGCCGTTTCACTAGCGTCACATTTATCAAATTTGGTATTACAGTACGTGAATGGATGATGAAGGTATATGACTGGTGCAAACATAATAATACTGAGATGCGTGTCATGTAACAACATGACTACATGCTACACTCATGATCCGCTCGCGGCCGTTTCGCTAGCTTCACATGTACCAAACTCTGCATTACGCGACGTGAACGGACGACATAGGTAAATGGCACAACCAAACATTATAATTACGACATGTGTGTCATAACAACATGACTACATGCCGCACTGAGGATGCGCTCGCGGCCATTTCGCTAGATTCACATATGCTAATATTGGTATTACGTAACGCCAATGGATGAAGAAGGTATGTGACTAGCGCAAGCACGATAATCATGAGATGCGTGTCTCGTGAAAACATAACTATATGCCACAGTCAAGGCGCCAATACATTTTGACGTGACGCGGGTCACGTGCTCACTGGCGTTGCCACGCCAGGTGCCGGTCCTGCCATATACTCGCAGGCGCGCGCCGCGCTGCGTTGCTTTGACGCATGCGCGTTGAAGCTTGTCCGGCGTCCCTCCGTCACGAAAATAGTGAGACGCAGTGTTGTCTGGGTAACGCATCGGAACGAAATGCAGCATGTCGCATTTCGAGCCGAATCCCGGCGGGCCGCACCGATGGACGCTGGTCGCGCCTAGCATCAGACTATAGAGTGCTCGCGTTTTGCTAACGTAGCGTTCCTGTGCCCAGCGTGCGCGCGCGTCAACGCTACATTGGAGTATATCGAGCCCTTCATTATGCGCTCGGGGCAATTTTGCAAGCTCCACATATACAAAATTTGGTGTTATGTGACGTCAGTAAATGACGAATGTATATGACTGGTGCAAACATGAGAATCCTGCCACGCGTTTATGTAAGAACATGAAAACATACCATGCTCATAGGGTGCTCGCGGCCGTTTCTCTATCTCTACCTATACTAAATTTGGTGTCAAATGACCTGAATAGATGACGAAGGTAAACGACACATCCAAACAAGATAATCATGACACGGTAGTCATGTACGGCATCATTTATCTCTAACTCATAACGTTGTGCTGATTTTAAAGTGACATATTAGCATTTCCGATTTGTGCTTCGCATATCATCAATTACCACTGTATGTAGGATCTGCCAATGTTTTTTTATTACCGGAGAAGTTACCTAAAGCCGGTCTTTCGTTACAATACCGCACTATTGGAAAGTTTTTTTCTAGTGCTATTCCAGTGTCTGTGGCACACAACGCCATTACAAAGTCTCTTCTTTTTTTCTTGCAACCAGCCAAAAAAATATTCTCAACAATCTTAAACAAAATACAAAGAATGCGTGGCTCAAGTAAGCACAGCAAGTTCTAGACAGGACTATGATATTTTGCAGTGCAATTAGCGAACAAATAGGTAAATGGGCATTTCATATTATTTCATGTTCATTGCGTTCCGTCCTGCTTGTTGTTTTCATTAAATTCTGCGGAGAGTAAAATTTTAGCAATGGAACAACAAATTCTATAATATACACAGGTTAGATACAAAATCCAGAATATATATGTCGTCGCTCTGTATACGTTTAAAAAAAGTTCCAAAATTTTTTTTTGTCCACCAAAAATCACACTGATAACTTTCGTTAAAAGTGCTTGTTAGTCCTGAGGTTAATCGGGTAAATAAAATGAATAAAGCCTCCCATTTTATGAAACTTCAAACTTCAGCTGAGTTGCTGCATCGGCTGAAGTTAGCATGTAAATCAAATTCCTCAGCACACTACTCAATACTCTCTCTCTCTCCCTCGCACTCGATAAAAATACATGTTTATATAAGTTGAATATTGAGTAATAAACAGATATTTTGCCTGAACGCAGAACTACTAGCGGCCAATTTAATCCAATACATGTTCAATACTACTCTACTTTTGTTTTCCCTGCATTGCATTTTTTCTTCAATGCATCTACGTGTCATTTAGGCAGCGATTTACGCACAAAGTTTTTGCTTTGTTTTCAGTACTGAAACACGGCCTCTCATGAACATTGTATAGAGCTATTGTTCCTGAGGAGTGTGCACGCCGGACACGTATGTCCACCGCGAAGACTTGTTTTAACGGTTGAGAAAATGGGATCTCTCTTATGAGAATTCTTTCAATCGGAAAGCTATAAAACACAGCAGCCGTTGTTCTTACGGTTCTCGCATGCTTTGTTAAATATACGTAACGTCACAAGGCCGGCGTCCACGGGATCATGTACGCGT